CCACTTCACACGGATCAGGGGAAGGAGTTCGAGGCAAACCTGTTCCAAGGCGTTTTTAAACTGATTGGCATCCACAAGACCCGCATTACACCTTTCCACCCCCAGCCAAATGGAATGATGGAACGCTTAAACCGTACGGTGAAGACGATGCTGAGCATGTTCGTTGATGAGAACCAAGAAGATTGAGATGAACACCTACCCTATGTGCTGATGGCCTACCGTTCCTCCAAGCACGACGGCACTAAACTTACGCCGAATATGCTGATGCTTGGCCGGGAGGTGGGACTTCCATTGGATCTGGTGGTGGGTCAGCCGGGGGAGCAAGCGGAAGTGGCAGTACAAGACTACGTAGAAGGGCTGTGGGCAAGGATTGAGGGTGCCCATGAGTTCGCCCTTTCGTGGTGACGAAGAAGATCGATGATGTCACATGAGATACAGAAGTACCCTCGGTCCCAAGCCAAAGTGGTCCACTACAACAGGCTGAAACCATACTTGGGTGACGTGAAGATGAGCTGGTGGGAGCAAGTGACACTCCCACTAGCTCTTACCAACACCAAGCTTACCAATACCTATCCTAGACAACCTACCAGACCATGTGAATTGCCCAACCCCAGCCTTCAACTTACTAACCTCTTTATCCCTTCCTCTGTTTGCAAGATGGCCCCGATCGAGTGCCCCCAGTGCAGAAAGGCCTTCAACTAGTGAAGGAACCTACGCAGTCAACTGCAGAGCTCCATCCGGAACGCCCCTATGCCTGCACCAAGGGTTGTGGCCTTCAGTTCTACCAGCAGGTCATTAGAGAGCGACACCACCGGTACTGTAAAGGGGTGTTGGTGGGGGCAGTGGGCGTAGAGGAGGACGTCCTGGACGTCCACGCCGGTGCTGAGCCATAATTTGCTGGGGGGCACGGCAACCCTGAGGCAGCGGAGGAGCATGATGGTGGCATTATAATGCTATGGGGTTGCTTCTCTGCTAGTGGCACCGGTAACCTCATTAAGATATAGGGCATCATGAAAAAGGAGGATTATATCGTGATCTTTGATGACAATGTGAAAACGTCTGCTGAGAAAATCCAGCATGGACGTACCAAGGTAGTAAGACAGTGGTTCAAGGACAGTGGTATCCATGTACTGGAATGGCCAAGTGAAAGTCCTGACCTAAATCCAATAGAGAATCTGCGGAGGGAGCTGAAGACTGGAGGGATGGCCAGGAAACCATCCAGCCTGACCCAGCTGGAGGCTATCGCCAAGGAAGTGTGGACCAACATCTCACAGTAGACAGGCAGAAAGCTTGTGGACACTTATAGGACCGTCTTGAGGTAGTCATCACGACCAAAGGCTAAACTACATGTACTGACTATTAAGAAAAGACAATGGACTATGTAAACCTCGGGTATGACTACTTTTGAACGGGAGCAAAAACTTTTAACGAAAACCGGGCCGTGTCTATTATTATGCAAATGCAGTTAGCCAATACTCATGTGGGTTTGTGTATTGCAACAAATAGGCAAAAGATACAGTGGAAGTACCAATTTAATAGCTTTTACAAACNAAGAATTTAGAAAAGTATGTTATTTTCCAAAGGGTATGAATACTTTTGAGCACAACTGTACGTATGCAATAGTTATGACAATCCTGCAGATTCTCACATCAGAACGGCGTCTTTATGGCTTGTTAGTTCTCCCTTCTTAAGTGCTGTTGATTGCATTTTGGTTGTTGGAAAATCTAAAACATTCTCCCCAATCTACTTGAAATTTGTCATCTCCACGAAAACTTCGGGGTGATGATTCCTTATGGGCAAAAGTGTGCGTGTGTGGGGATAAATAGCCCAAGCCCCAAGGGATACACGCCCTTGACACTAAGTTTAAAGATTAGATTTGAAGCCACCACAGCTCGAGTTCTGATCAAACCGAGAGGGCCGTCTAACTCAAAGAAGAGAAGATGTCACCTGAGAGTGCCATTGCCAAACTGAACTCATCTCTGATCATCTCAAGAACCTTCCTTACTCCTCCTTCTCCCTGTGTAAAGAAAAAAATTCTTACGGCTACTTCTGTGTCAATCAACCTACTTGAATTATTCACATGCACTGTGAAAGATATTTGCCTCACGGCATGGCAAGGCAAATGCTAAAAACAAAACAACATAATGAACTGCAAAAGTAAGCTCCTTATTTTTTGCTCAGCAACTAGCACTAGTGTTTGGTGGGTATGACATACGGCCGGCCACTTCTCGTGAAGAAAAGAAAAGTTTGTACCACAGTTTCTGATCAGTCATTTGTCGTGAACACCATTTTGCTGGCATCAAAATGAAAGAAATAAAACAAGCTTTCATCAATACATATGGTTGGAGAATTATCATTAGTCAATGAGTTTTTTGTTGGTCATGTGTGACCTAAATATCATATTACTGGCATGAAAATTAATTAGGTCAACTTTTAACAAAGTTTAAATGGTTGGAAAATGATTCTCAGGTTATCAATTCAGTCAGACGTGACCCAAATATTTTCTTGCTGGTATCGAATGAAAGAAGGCAAAGCAGTTAAAAATTTAAGAAAGTAACTTAGCAAATCGCAGGGAACAGCAGGTTTCCTTTCGTTTTATGACACATTCTGTTAATTGCTATCGATAATCATCTTCGATGACAACACAATGTTCATTATGAAGTTTCAAGTTGTTTAGATTGTTTCTAAAGTGATACGTGTATTTGTATTTATATTGATTCAGTGCCTAGGCGATCGTTCCTGAAAAAAATCTGCATAACAGACTGGCTAGTAGTTTAGAAAAGCGATTGGTCAGTAAGATCTAATTACAATATACTCTTAAAATTAAATATATATTCAGCAGAACTAAAACCTCAAAACTGATAAAACAATGAAAAACCCACATTAACATTAATTACAATACAAGGATACAAATTCACAGAAATGACCATAAAGTTTAAAATGAAAATGAAATCACACTTGCTCTTGGATAAAAACTGTTCAAGATACTTTTGCAATCAGCCCGGATTGACCCATATCGTTTACCCGTCTGAAATAAATCATTAGCTGAATGAGATGCGTCTTCAATAATTGACTTAGTTTTCGTTTGGACACAAGCTTCACAAAGCATGTAGATTACCAGCAATTATATTTCTGGCAGTGTTTACAACACAACTGAGGCGTTTCCTGTCCTCCACGTCTGAAATAGCCGCATTCAGAACTGTACACTCGATGTGACAGCTGAAGTGACTTGATGAATGCTTCTAGGCTTGATAAGCCGGAATAATATCATTTAGCACCTGATCCGACAATTCAATGCTGCTCGTTACCGACACTTTTAAAGTCAGGCTTGTTATCGGTGGAGGGCAGTCAGGTCGTTGATTGAGTGCAATAAGAGTCTGTTGGTACTAAAATGCGTAAGAACAGTTTCATATGGTCCTTTAGCAATACAGTCGGTAGCAAAGGTGAAAAGTGCTAAACCTGTCGGTGGTCATGGCGCTCACAGTCAGAAGTTACATTCTTATGCCATCCATCACAACAGGTGTTCATCTCTCTTGCAGCAAAAAAAAGTCGCGTCAACTTAATAACGACTTACATCATAGGCGAGTCCCCAAAGTACCGGCCGACCGATGAAGACAGCCCTCGCTCCCAGGGCCAGCGCCTTCAACACATCGGTGCCTCTTCGTACTCCACCGTCAAGATAAACCTCAATATTGGAACCGCGAACTGCTTCCACTACCTCAGATAACGTATCGATCTGCACAAATATGTGAAGTAGCATGGTTGAATGAAGTGTCACTCACTTTTATGGGGACTCTTACGGTGACTAAAATTGATTCGAAGTTTCTTTCAAAGTTAAATAAGTTACAATTTAAATCGCCTTTATTGGCTAACGGGTTGGCTGCTAAAACGAAAATTTCAGGGGCTACAGTGCAAGACGACTGAAGAGGTAAAGACAGCAGGAAATGTTGACGACAGGTCCAGTTCAATGGACCTAGGATAAATGGACAAATACATTCATAATCATGAAAAATTATTATAATAATACCGCCGTGGCGGTATCAAGCGTGAGCGACTCGTGGAAAATGTATAAGTTACAAACTTCAATGTCATCTACGCTCAAGTAATTTGGAAAGTTGTGTTGGACTTTTCTCCTCTGGTTATCCTCTCAAATCATCGTAGGTTGTGTTTTCTGGTCCAAGTGGGAATTTTGGAGAAAGAAATGAAGACCTCAAAAATCGTTTTTAACCTGAGTGCCCGAGGCTAGGAAGTGATTAAAAAGGGCTTCGTTTGTCCTCACGGTTTTAATTTATGCATACCCTCAACAGGACTGTGGCTGGCTTGGATAATCGTTTTACATGTAGTGAGAAAATATTTCGAGAGGATTGGGTTGATAAAAATGCTGCTTTTAATAACACTGTCAATTATTTTTTTGGTTACTGCACTGACCGTAGCTAAAGATCCATCCAAATTACGACCCCCATGGTTGGAGACGACAATCCCGGCAATATCATGCTTCAAGGCCTCCCGAGCATCTTCTCCTGTGATGAAATTTTACATTGTAGTTAGAGGAGGTCCTGTGAAACCGACCATTTTGTGAGGAAAAGGAAGGAGCAAAGCATGCAAGAACAAACACGTAATCCTGTAATCGGCAAGCAAGCTTGACACAACTTGACCAGCTGTCAGCCTGCAAGTAATCAACAAGCCAATTATGCGTTTTATCAATGGGTAAATCTGTTCACTGCTGAGATCAAGTATTTCCTTTTACCTGTCAGAATGCCTTTGAGTACAATAGGGAGAGAGGTGATGCTATGCAGCCAGCCTATGTCTTTCCAGGTAGCACTGTCGTTGGCTATTTTTTGTCCCATGCAGGACCCAGCGGTATCAGGAAAATTAGCCAATCTGTCAATAAGACAAAAACTTGATGGAAGGTGATGTTAAAAGAGTTGCCCAAAGGTCAAAATATAATCTAAAAAGAAAGAGAGTGGATATTCACATCCATCCATGGACTTAATGATCATCTTTAATCCGAATTTAGAATATTTTAGTAAATTACTGTGGCTGGCAAGAGCCGACCAAACTGTGCCTGTAAATAAAGCTTCAAGTTTTACTTTCCATGCTATGATATGCACAATCTTGGTGAGATTCTATCTTGAAAAAAACATATACGAGTCGTACTAAAATCCTTAGTGGATAGTGACAACCTTGAAAAATTATACTTAAGGCACAAAGCAACCGCGTCCATTATTACTGTGGCCTGCAGTCATTCCAGTCCGGGGATATACAAAAAATTATGGTGGGCTTTGGCCATTAATTATGATTTTTTTTCATAGCTCCCATGACGCTATATCTGGACCTGATATTTGGGACAAGTTTACCAATCTGAATTCAGTAAGTTATAAATGCAAAAGAGTCGTTATAGGTAGTCAGTTTGTTTGTCTGTTAGGTTTTGTTTATTGGGTTGTTAGGGTTGTTTGTTTGTTGGGGTGTTGGGGTGTTTGTTTGTTTGTTTGTGGGGGGTGTTGGGGTGTTTGTTTGTTTGTTTGTTTGTTTGTTTTTGTTTGTTTGTTTGTTTGTTTGTTTGATGCCTTTTCAAAGAGATTGGAGGCCCTGTTTTAAATGAAATTTAACAGAGTCATGACATTCTTAATTAAACAAACAACGCCCAACAACGGAATCCCAAGCATTAATTCCCAAACAAGCATTCGCAAAATGTGCATCGCAAACCAATGACCGTATCAAAGCCTAGGACTTTGCATATTTTCCCAAAATTACCCTTTCCCTGGTGGAAACTTAAGCGACTTCCCCATTGTTCTTTGTGCCACTGGACAATCTATAGTCAGAACTAGTGCTCTGTATCCGTTTTCTTCCGCCTTCCTAACGATTGAACGGGCGATATCAAAATCTGGAAACAGGTGAAACTGAGCCCAGAGTAGTCCGTTAGGGGACGAGGCTGTAGCCACATCTTCCATGGTCGAGGTTGTTCCAACACTAAGTACCATCCCAGTTCCCACAGCCTTGGCAGCTATCAGTAAGAAAACGCAGATTGGTTATAACGGCTTATTGTTGTGACGTATAGGACTTTGTAGTTGGGCTGAGACTTTTCAGCTAAATTTGCTCCAGCTTTACTTGAATGCCAACCGTCATACATAACTGAGCACACATGACCTATGAGGAAAGGTGGTGCAATCGTCATTGTGACAATCCGTCCTTAAGATCAGGCCAAGGAAAAGCAAGGATTTGTGGTCAATTTACCTACATAATGATAATGATTCTAACTACGATATTGTGGAAGACCTTGGGAGAGTAGGTAAATAGAGGTATGGAAGCAAGCAAAACTCTGAACAGGGAAATGCCTCTAAAACACCTGCCTAAATTTGACGGACTGTTCCGACAACATTTAGAGGGGGTAAATTAGTAAAACAACAACGGTTAAAGAATAGTAGTTTCAGAAAGACAACTGTAATGTTTCAAAATAATCAAATATAGCTTCATTGGTATATAAAAATACATGCATACCTCTGTTTGCGTCTCTCACAATATTGGGATATGGTTTTTTCATACTATGCCCTTATTTTGTGGACACTGTCGATTTAATTAAGAAGAAAAATACTATGGACAAACAAAGCAACATAAAACCAGAAAAAACACGAATCCAAACTCTGTGTTTCAAGTGTTATATTGTTTTTCAGTTAATGCGTTTTTAGGTTACTTCATGAGCTGTACTTTAAAGTGCTTGATCGTTTCGATCAGAGGGTGAAAGAACTGTCCCAAGCATTCCCATCAACTCCAATAAACGAAATAGTAGAAAGAATGGCTTCTCGAAAATGGAGAAATAACTGTCAACGGACTATTAAACTACGAGTTGTGTCTTTAAAAGGCCCAATAAAATGCTTTAGGGTGGTTAAATAACATACATATACTGACTGCCTTTCAATTAACAATGAGTGACCTAAACCATTTAGCCCAAATGACAATCTTATCTCTGCGTAGAGCGCCCAACTCTTACATAATCCCTATATACACCGGGCCTCTTTGTTTTACACGGATCAACGATCTCGAACAATGATCCTAACGCTGATGTGCATAATCCAACTATCAAGTTTTGGTGTCCGTATACCAACGATGCATCAGTGATTGTTATCCAGATCCGTGTAAAACAAACACGGCCACATTACTCCTGCAATCCTCTTATATCAGATGACTGCCACATCCCTTCTCATTCATCATTTCCTCCCCCAACAATCCTTATTGAACACGTACAAAAAGGGGGCGAGCTTTACTTGTGGTGCCCAGCTCTGATGCTGCCCCAGAGCACGAACGTATATAAAAAAAATCTGGACTCACAATGCCCTTAATCACCATATAGAGATCATTGAATCCACTGGCGGCCATTTTACCGAGCCGAATACAAAGCTTGCCCGGCAATGCCCGCCTTTGTTCTCCCTGGCGTCAATAACCCGCCCATTTGTATTCAGCTCGGTTAAATGGCCGCTGGTTGGCTTGTATTTCATACAAAGGCGTTGCAAGTCCAGTTTATATATATATATATATCCGTGCCCCAGAGCTGTTTAGAACCAAAATGGCTGTTCACTATGTGTGCAGTCCAGCATGCAGCTATTGTGTGCTAATTGTCCATGTGCACTGACTCATAATCAATATTTTCGTTGTGACAATTCACATCAACTTTCAAAGTTGCGACCTGAGTGATAAACAGCTCTGATGTTTTTTTCCGTTGGGGAAATGTTAATTAGAATATACCGGGTTTGCCCTTACCCAACGTATATTAATAAGCACTGTATGCTCA